TTAAAAACTTGGAAATTGCACGGTACACTGTAGGAACTACGATAAATCTTCCCTAATCGGCGCCATGTTTTTAGGCTCCTCCCATTTGACGGATCCCAATAGAGAGATGTTACAGCTTTTAGTAAAACTAAGACATCAATATCTTCAGGAACAACAGTAAGATTTTCTGCTTAAATATTAATTACCCTTTGAATATTTAAAGTATCAGTATCACCGTCTGCTTGACAAAAAAAATATTATCAGCTACTTTCTTCATTAATATTCCGATGAATCTATTTTTGTTATTGCTGTTTTCAAGGATCACTTATTGACGAATTTTTAGTCATATTTTCAGTAAAAACAAAATGTTGCGATATCCGTCATGAATTAAAAATATAAAAAAGCGGAAGATTTCAACGTGTAAACTTTTTTAAAGAATCCGGAAGCATTCAAATCCATTCATTGCAGCCAGATTCCGAGGTATAAACGTAATTGCGCTGGACTAGCAGTATAGCTTTTAATTCGACAGTTACAATGCCTAATAATATACAATAAGTTGGCAAGCGTCAATTTATTGAAAAGTGCGATATTTACGAATTTTTTCGGTACGATCACTTTTTAAAAAAGAATTTACAATTTTATAATGTGTTCTCCCGGTAATCCACCTTGGCCGATTGTATATCCTTTGTAAGTATGTAGGTGTGTACTTGTCAAAACCAATTAGTTATAGTAATTTTGGTATTTTTTTTTAATTTGAAATTGTAATTTTGAACAAAAAAAAAACAGTAGTTAAATGTCGCTGTTGTAGCGACGAAATTATTGCCAAGTTTCTTGGAGAACTAACGGAAGAGGAAATCGAAAACATTAGAGAAAGTTACGCATTGTATGATGATGACGATTCCAGAGGTCTCATTAATGCTGAAACGTTCAAGACTCTCATGACTGATTGCGGCCAAAATCCTACAGACGAGCAAATTAAGGAATGGATGGAAACGTTAGATGAAGATAAAGATGGATTAATTGGTTTCCCGGAGTTTTTGACTCTTGTTGCCGATATATTAAGAGGTGAAATAAAACGATATATTTTGTTGTTATTAGTGTAGGCGCCGAAAATAGTAGTTCTAAAAAAAACTAAAAATGCAAATTATTTTTAAAACTTTCGTTTTACGGATTCATATTTACTCTATTCGAGCGTTTAATCTTTTTGCGTGTAATACTCGAATCGAATCGAATAGTAATATTCCAATGGAATGTTCGTTTTTCTGAATAATTGGAAAGTACCGAATTATAAAATGAATGTGCAAGTTATAATCATTATAGGGACAACTGTTTCGTTTTTACTAGAGATTTGAAAAATGTTGAAATAGAGTTTGCAAAATATAAAACCATTTTCTACTTCAAATGTAACATTGTTTTCAAAAATTGTATACTCGAAATACAAAATGCTAACTAGGTACCTACTTACATTTTAAATAATCTATATAAATATAAAAGAAAGTCGTGTTAGTTACACTATTTATAACTCAAGAAGGGCTGAAACGATTTGGATGCAATTGAAA